GGGCTTCTCTACAAGGGGGATTTATCCTTCTCTGGGTCTGTGCTGGCTCCAGGGAAAGGTCTCATCAGGCCTTAGTTCTTGTACTCACAAGGTAGTTCTTGATAGACTTCAGTCAAGTTGATTTTATTACTTCCTGAGAACTCATTGCCAGGGGGCTCTTCCCTAACTACCTGTCTTCCTGCTTCATACCCATCCCCCAACCCCTGCTAGGAATTTTGACACCTTAAATCTTTAAGGGGAAAATGAGTGAAGGTCCATCTTCTGGAGCTTCTTCAGCTGAGAAAAGAACTGTGGACCCTGTGTGCATAAAGAGTGAAACCTTGTGCTACCTTAGTTTTAATGGCAACGATTCACTGGGTTTCAGAGTTGTCAGTTTGAAAGTCTGAAAAGAGAGAAGAGCATTAGAACTGGAGGAGGGAAAAGCCTTCCTTCAACCCCCCTGTCCTTGGGAGGGCAGAGGGGTTTGCTGCTTTAGAAAACACTCTCTCTGGAATGATGAGACAGAAGTTAAAACAACAAAAACCAAAGCAACATGGAAGAACATTTTTAAAAACAATGTCTAAGTTGATGCCTGTCTATTTGCTAGCTAGGGAGTAACAAACCTTTAAGAAAGAAAATTTGATTTCTGGATTTATTTGGATGGATTTTAAAAATCATTTGGTGGTTTTCAAAAGAACAGAAGTGAATGAACCTTGTTGGGTTCACTGGACAAAATACAAAATTATGAACTTTATTTTATTTTCTTTTATTTTGCTTTTTGGGTCACACCTGGCGATTCTCAGGGGTTACTCCTGGCTCTGCACTCAGGAATTACTCCTGGCAGTGCTCAGGGGACCATATGGGATGTTGGGAATTGAACCTAGGTTGGCCATGTGCAAGGCAAATGCCCTACCCGCTGTACTATCACTCCAGCCCCCCCCCCCAATTATAAACTTTAACATAAATAGTGTACTTAGGAAAAAGAATTAAACCTCAACTTTCATCAACCTACTTGTCTTACCTTTATTTTGGGTGTGGTTGGGTTTGGGGCCACACCTGGTGGTGCTCAGGGCTTACTTCCAGCTCTGTGCTCAGGATCACACCCGGTGTGGTTCAGGGGACATATGGGGTGCAGGGATTAAATTGGGTTGGCTGTGTGCAAGACAACAGTATCCCACTCACTGTTCTATCTCTCCTGACCCCCAACTTTTCTTCTCTTGATAAGTTATTGTGAAAGGTTTTTATTTTACTTTTTTTTCTCCAGGAATTTTTATTGAGACACCATGATTTACAAAATTATTCACAGTAGAGTTGTTTCAGGCATACAGTATTCCAAGTCCCATCCCATCACCAACCTTTCCAGGTTCCCTCTCACCCCCAGCCTACCCCCTTGGCAGGATATAATAATTTATTTAATATTACTTGGTTCAATGAAGCTTAAAGGAATTGCAAATAGAACTGCTGGAAAATCAATCAATCAAAGTCAGTTTGTGATGATGAATTGCTAGATGCTTTAAACCTTTCTTAATCTAGTAGCTGAAAACCACAAGCGTCGTTACTGAGTGCCATACTCAAGGCCACATGAAGGGAAGTTTCTCCTGTCCTTTAAAGAAGCTCTTTTAATTTTCTTAAAACCTGGTTTCAAGGCTATGAATTCCCTAAACTGTTGCCTGTCCATGAAACAACTCTGTAAAGTTCTTTCAAATTTGATAATCAAGCTGGGTAGCATCACTGTCACTGTCCTCCAGTTGTTCATTGATTTGCTTGAGCTGGCCCAGTAACGTCTCCATTGTGAGACTTGTTGTTACTGTGTTTGGCATATTGAATACGTCACGGGGAGTTTGCCAGGCTTTGCTGTGCAGGCGAGATACTCTCGGTAGCTTGCCGGGCTCTCTGAGAGGAGAGGAGGAATTGAACCTGGGTCAGTCGGGTTGGCCATGTGCAAGGCAAATGCCTATCGCTGTGCTATCACTCCAGCCCCCTGGATAGCCTCCATAAAGATGAAGAATTTGAAAGGAGATAGTATAAAAACTCAAAGAAATTAACATTTCACCATTTTTTCTTTGAGTTTTTATACTATCTCCTTCCAAAGTCTTCATACTCATGGAGTTTCATTTGACATATCAGCTCCACATTTAATGAGCTTTCCTTTATATATACAAGTTCCTTTTAAAATCTTGCGGCATTCAGTATTCTGACACCAACTTTGGATTTTGTTATTCTGAGTATAATGTGTCTTGCCGTTTTTCTAATCATGTCTATTTTCACTGGGTCCTTTTGGGACTCTTGGATCTCAGTACCTGTAATCCTCACTAAGGGAATTTTTTTAATCAGTAATTTCTTTAATGTTTCATCATTACATTTGCCTTCCTGTTCTTCAGGGACTCTGATTCTTAGATTGTTCCTATTGAAACTCATCCCATAGTTGTCTAGTCTGCTGTTCATTTCAGGCTATTTTTCACTGTCTGCTGTTTCATAGTGGTTTTCTCTTTCTCACCTGGAGTTCCTCAATCGTTTGCTCAGCTTCTGTTATCCTGATGTTCAGAGCTTCTATTGACTTTTTAACACCACCTACCATGTTCTTCATTTCTGTCATTTCCGACTATAGTTCCTTTTTCATTTCAACTCTCATACCTTCTTGTGCTGTGCTACTTGTGCTATTGTTTCTTTGAACTCATTGAACATCCTCATCATAGTATTGCTAAAGACACTGTCTGAGGTGTTGTTTTCACCTTCAGTGATACTGTTTTTGCCACAATTTGTCAAGTAGAGCTGTCACACAGCTGAGCTTCTGTGGTGTGGGCCCTTAATATGGCACAGGTTGGGTGTGGAGGCTCTGGAACTCACCTAGTAGGAAGAGACTCTGCTCCCATTCCAGAATAGGGCCAGTGATATCAGTCAGAGGCAAGCCTCACCTCGATGTGGGATGGTGGACCAGTGATCAGAAAGTCAGTGAAAGGTTTTACTTTACAATTTTATATAGTCTACCTAAAAGTAATAGCACTGTGGATCATCAATATGCCATGTATTTCAAGGCTAGTCCCCTCCCTACTGTACTGGTCCTTTAGAGACCCTCTTGAGTTTGCCTCAAGAGACTGTCTTCTGAAGATGATAAAGAAAAAGAAAGGAGGAAGTTTGACAGTTATTAGCCTCTCCTCCCTGTGCCAGAGTAATAAAATTCCAATAGAAGGGCCTGCTGCCAGTTGACTGTCTAGTTGGGAAATACTTTATAAATGAGTTCATGAGGAGTTGTCACTAATAGACAAAGCTTGATTCGTTCACATCTTCTTGGATTTCAACAGACCTTCTCTGAGAAATCAGTGGGAAATTCCCAGTTTCAAGAACTCACATGGTACTGAGGCAAGAGCTTGGGCTGTGCAGTTAGACAAGTTTGGGTTGAATTCTAGAAGTAATTAGAGCATTCTCTTGATAATGATAAGCAATGTAAGTGGACTGGGTAACATAGATAAAGGAATTTATATAATGCAGCCATAAATTTTTAGATCATGTGATGTCTGCAGAAGGTTTGAGGGCAGAAAGAATTCCTTGAACATGAAATTACACAGAGAGCTGAAAGTTCATTCTTGTAACTGTAAATTCATTATAGCAATGTAATCACCTTCTTTGTTAGTTTTGGCGTCACACCCTGTGCTACTCAGAGGCTATTCATGCCTCCCTCCCTCCCTCCCTAAGTGAGATCACTACCCATGGGGCTCAGTGGACCATCCTGTGGTTCTGGAGATGGGACTTAGATTTACTATATATATATACTATATAGTATATGGTATATATATACTATGTATTTACTATAGGCTGGAGCGATAGCACAGCTGGTAGGGCGTTCGCCTTACAAGAGGCCAACATGGCCGACCCGAGTTCGATTCCTCCCCCCTCTCGGAGAGCCCGGCAAGCTACCGAGAGTATTCGATATGCCAAACACAGTAACAACAAAGTCTCCAATGGAGACGTTACTGGGCCCGCTCGAGCAAATCGACAATCAACGGGAGGGCCTTTACCTTACCTTTACAAAGCATGTGCTCAGCCTGTAGAGGAATTTCTCCAACCTTGCTTATACTCTCTATCTCAAACTCATTTCAGTTCTCTTCAGTCATAAGAGATTCAATTCATTTATTTTGTTTTGTTTTGTGGCCCTACCAAGAAGTGGTCAGGAGTTACTCATAACTCAGTGTTGGGGGGGGGGGGTCACACCTGACAGTGCTTCAGAACCGTGTAATGCTGGGGATTGAGCCCAGGCCTTCTGCATACAAAGAATTTCCTCAGCCAATTGAGCTGTTTCTTTGACCCCAATTATTCTTTTCAGAGTTCTTTTACTCATGAAATCTCTCGGCTCTCTTTTGTGTTATTAGCACCACATTGAAAGTTTGGAACACTGAGCTCCAAAGATTGACTAAGAACAGAGCTCTTCCTTCTGCTCCCTTCTTTTGACAACCTTCTTGGACATGGAATACATGGAATAGATACTGTAGATATAACAGTGCCATTAATTCAGAGAAACACTATTTGTATGTTGAGTAATGTGTCATCTGAACTTTGAGAAGGAAATGTCTTTAGACAGTTGTAGAGTTTCATAATCTTTGAGAGTCCAGGAATGTGAGAAAGAGGGTGCAATTATTCAGGTCACATTTGAGAGTTCCACGTCTCTAGTTTTAGCTCCAGATCTCAATAAAATCTTGGCAGCTGACCTCTTGTGCCCTCTCCACTTTTAAGACAAATGACCTGGAAATGCCATATTCTGCAGTAATATGTACCTCTAAGATGATCTCTTTATGAGACTGCTGCAATACTCTAGGCCAATCTCTTCTATTCTCTCTACGTGTTACTAAGTTGATGTCGCAATCTGGCCTTGGACAAAAGGGAGCCACTGTCCCCTGGGATCAGGATTTCTCTTCCTGAACTTCCCGCCCATGAAATTACAGCTGGGAGGGACCAGACACAGCTTAGTACAGCCCCGCCTTCTAGAGAGGGATAAATAGTGAGGTTTGGCATTGGTCATCAGAGCCAGTCCATCCTCGTCATGAAGTCCATCAGCCTCTTCCCCCTGGTAGTTCTTCTCCTGGGAACTCTGGCATCATGGACCGTGGAAGGTGCTCAGAATTGTGAGTTGAAATTTTCCTGGTATGGTCTTGACTTCTCTAGGCTCTGAAGTCTCAGCCCTCCCTAAGTGTGGACTCGTGTCCACATGAACCCAAGTCTGTGGTTTCTGAGCATCTGAAAATGTTTCTTATTCTTCTACTCTAGCAGCAAAAGTCTCTTTCCCACTTTTTTTTCACCTGTGATGGGGGTACCACAGCTGGTAGTGCTAAGGGTTTTCTCTTGGCTTTGCACTCAGGGATCACTCCTGGCTGTGCTTGGGGACCATATTGAGTTTTTGGGATCAAACCTGTGTCAACTGTGTGCAAGGCATGTGCCTTTACTCCTCTACTACCTCTTGGGGGTACCCCTCTCTGATTTGACCACTATTTCTCTCTCTGTCTCTTGTCTGACTCTGCCTCTGTCTCTCTCTTTGTCCTAATCTTCTCTGCACTTGGACCTGTCTGGTGCAGGCTCTCCTTGGTCATCTCTCTGCTTCTTGATCTTTCATCTGTTTTCCTGCCTCTCACTAACTCTCAACCAGTCCCGTTGGCTTGTTTACCTTTGTTTATGTCTCTATACCTCTGTTACTACATGTTTCCTGGCTCTGTACACACGTGTTTTGCCTGGATACATTGGCTGAGAGCATTCAGCTTTTTCCTCCAAGGGTTGAGCTTTCTCCTTTTCATGTGTGGTTTCATGGTACCCATCATTCTCCTGGCAGCTACACAGTCTTCTCCTTATGGACCTCCAAGGTTGGGGGCCTCTCTTGGAAATGGTGCTCACTTTGTTATCCAAGATGGCTTATCAGCAGCCTCCTGATCTTTGTCCTTTTCTCCCTCAGCTAAGAAAGCTGGGAAGTGTCCTCCTGTTAATAGTGTCCGCTGCTTTCGGTATGAGGAACCCCAGTGCCAGAGTGACTGGCAGTGTTCAGGAAACCAGAAATGCTGCCAGGATGTTTGTGGCATCAAATGTGTGGATCCCATGGAACTCCCCACACAAGGTGAGGCCGGAGAAGTGATGGGGAGGAAGGGGTCTGAGAACATAGCATTCTGGGGGACAGGAATGGTCATGGGGTTTACCATCTCAAGAATAGTTGAGTCAAGGTTGTCCCTGGGTCAGGGAGTGCCAGACAGGAAGTGATCTTTCTTGCTGGTGGAGCTCCAGTTCACACAAGGCCTGTTTTCTAGTAACTACGATTTGTTTGTTCAAGTAGCCAGGCAGCTCTGGATAACTGGTACTGAGGTAGAGGAAAGCCAAATTTTTCTTCCAAAAAATACATATGGGCCTCAGCAAAGGAAGGAATTCATGGTCATAGGGGAGGGGAGCAGCTGGATCCTCTTGCTCGCTGGCACAGGGTGGCTTTGAGAGAGAGAAATGGAGCAAACCTTGAACTTGAAACACTGCTGAGGGGGCGACTGCGTGTGTGTGGGGGGGGGATGCAGGGCCTCTGATCTCTGACCTTTGATTCTTCTCTCCCCAGCTAGGAAAAAGCCTGGGAAGTGTCCTCAGGTGTATGGAGAATGCATGATGATTAACCCTCCCAATCACTGTGAGACCGACAGCCAGTGCCAGGGCAAACTCAAGTGTTGCAAGGGCATGTGTGGGAAAGCCTGTGTCAACCCTGTCCGAGGTAACTGGAGGCAGAGCCAAGACTCCTTTAGCCTTCTGGAGGTATGAAACTCTTGTTCACTTGTCCGGATTTAGGACAAGAACTTCTGTGAATTACCACCTGGCAAGAATTCATTTTCAGTCTCGTGGGGAAAGGCCCTAAACACGTGGCTTTGAGTCTCCTTTTCGGTAAATTGACGATGACAAAGGGAGAGACAGTACAGTGGGTAGCGCATTTGTCTTGCATGTCTTGTGTCCACTTGAATTTGATTCCCTGGAATCTCATTTGGTTCACTGATTACCACCAGGAGGGATCCCTGGGCACAGAGCCAGGAATAAGCTCTGAGCACAGCCTGGTGTGGCCCCAAACAAAAACAAAAAAACAAAAGAGGAAAAGCATATGAGAGCTTTGTAATGCATTATGTGCGTGAAGAATGGATTACTAAGATACTAAACTTACCTTTGGTCTACTGGCCAGTGTCCAAGCCCAAAGATCTGTGGGTTTTGATAACCAAGCTCAGTGCTCTTAGTTGAGAGTAAATCTGATACCTAGATTCTGTCTGTTGCATTAATCTCAACTCTTTCTAAAAACTATTCCATTGTTCTATTATTTTCTTTATTTCAGAAAGGTTTTCTAAGGGACTAAGATGGTGAAGATAATTTCCTGGTTTCTAAGCTGAAGCTTGATTTGCTCTCCTTTGTCAACTTGATTCTGCTACTACAAGAGGCTCCATATTCCACTCTAGGTGTTCTGGGAATTCCCTATTTGACCCTAGAGTGGAATCATGGGAAGATGCAGTGGCAAAGACTTGTTTCTGCAAAGTATTTCCCTTGGGGGATGGGTTTGTTGATTTGTGAATAAATAAAGAAGCATTTCATCTCTACATATACTGCATCTGTGGTTCACTGAAGCTTATGAGTTGAGTGGGAAGTGGGAGACAAAATCTTTTTTTTTTTCTTTTTGGGTCACACCCGGCGTTGCTCAGGGGTTACTCCTGGCTCATGCACTCAGGAATTACTCCTGGCAGTGCTCAGGGGACCATATGGGATGCTGGGAATAGAACCTGGGTCGGCCATGTTGGCTGTGTGCAAGGCAAACGCCCTACCCGCTGTGCTATCGCTCCAGCTCCAAGACAAAATCTTTATGGTAATGCTTACACACACACATTCAGCTGCAGAATTGAGGAAAAAAGGCTTAGGTTTGAATTTATATCCAGAGCCTGAAAATAGAGGCATTGTGGTTTTGCCTGTACACTGCCTTCAACAATGCTCCAAACTTATATCTTATTTTTTTTTCTGTTAAGTACAACGCAAATCACTTTTTCCCAGTGTTTGGAGCATTGTTGAAGGCAGTGTATGGGCAACTGCAGGCAGGGCTAATGGTCAACAGCCAGATGTTGAACAATGATGGACACTTGCCTCCTGTAGTGATCTTGAACTTCTTTCACTCCTTCTCTCTTTCAAGACACTATTTTATCTTAAATAAATAGAACAGAACACTCTGTACCACGTATCAATTCCAAGAGAGGACTCCAAATAATTCTCTCTATTGCTTCTTAGTATCAGAACCGTGAAGGAAAAGACAATAGGCCAAGTGCTCCATGGAAAAATGCTTGACCCACACAGAGAAGAAACAAACAAGGTCAGTCTCCATAGTAAACCTAGACTCCATGACAAATGTGTCTTTCCCATAAGCAAATTCAGGGTGATTTGTCTGCATGAACCCCTCTAATGCAGCAATAGAGGGACCCCAACTTTTTGCCAACAAGGAAAGATGCTACAAACCTTTTGGGAGATGTTGTGTGGTGTGTGCACTTGTGCAGAACAATGGAGCACACATTGAACTGGAAACACTGCAGGATACTGTCCTACAGACAATCAACCTGGCTCAGCCTCTTTGGGAAGCTCATCTCTTGGCAGAGGAATGTGAAGGTTTATTCTCATCAGCTGAGTGGAGCATGCGTGCATGTGGTTGCTTTTTCCCCAACAATAAGAATATTGTCTCAGAAGTCACTTGGATGACATGCTGTTGGCCAATGCCACATAAGGGTAGTGTTCTTGATTTCATGGAACAGAAAGTGTCAAGAAAGCTGAACTCCGAGCATAAGGAACTGCACCCTTGCATGGTCTACAACAGCACCCTCTGTATTTGACAAGAACTAGAGCACTTGATTAGATACATACACATACACTGTCCTCCCGTTGTTCATCGATTTGCTTGAGCGGGCCCACTAACTTCTCCATTGTGAGACTTCTTGTTACTGTGTTTGGCATATTGAATACTCTCTATAGCTTGCCAGGCTCTCCGAGAGGGGCGGAGGAATCGAACCTGGCTCTGTCAGGCTGGCTGCACGCAAGGCAAACGCCCTACCGCTGTGTTATTGCTGCAGTTTGATTAGATTATCCACTTGATTAGATAATGATTTTAAAATGTAATCATACCCTTTCATAAAAATTGTTTAAGAGAATATTTGATACTGCACTCAATTGGTGTTGCCAGGGTAGCAGCTGGAAGTGTTAAACTAGCCATGTCAGAAAGAAGAAAAGAGGTGGAGAGATTTTATTCATTTCTGCATGTGGTCAAGCCATGCTCTAGGCTGGCTCCCATGACCCTCACCCTGGGTACTCATGCCCTGTTTGATCCTTTCCCATATTTCTGCAGGGGTGGTCTGTGTGGCTAATCAAGTATTGCAGAGCTAGAGTTACTTTTTGTCTTTGTTGGGGAAATCAAGTGTATGATGGAAAGCTTACAGTGTGCATTTAGGGGGCATACACTTTCTGATCCTTTACTCTGGCAGAACTCAGCTGCTCTTTTCTGAGGATGCTTGACTAAATGAGGAGTGGCCCGCAGGGAGCATGCCATTGTTTCTGGGCAGCAGTCTGATGGAAGTGAGACCCAGCACCCACAGGTGAGCAAACTTGGAAGAAGACTTCTTAGTTCCTGGTTAGTGTAGTGACTGCAGCCCCAGAACACCGCGTGGTCATAATCTTTGGGGGAGAGCTTGAACTTAAAACACACCTATGTTCATTGTCGCAATTAGTACAATATTTAAGATATGTAAACAGCACAAATGCCCAACTACAAATGAATAGGTTAAGAAATTGTGGTATATCTCATGGTGTCTCACTGTCTCACTAATAAAAAGTAAAAAAAATTGTGGTATATACACACACTGAAATACTACGCAGTTCTAAGAAAGAGCAAAATCATACAATTTGTAGCAACATGGATAGAACTAGAGGATATCATGAATGAAGTGGGTCAAAAGGAAAGAGGGAGGGTAGATACAGAATGATCTTTCTCATATGTGGGACCTAAAGACAAACAGCAAGGTAACAACAAAGATCCAAAGGCAGCATAAGTGGGGATCTGACCCACACAACTGAGTTGAGTGATTGAGTGAAGAGGGAGGGTGAGCGGGAGGGGAGGGAGATGGGTCAGGTGTCAAAATTATGTTCATGAGAAACCATTAATAATAGTATTATAATAAAAAAATCAAAACTTTTTAAACGTACAGATTGGCATGCGGGGTTGGGGGGGCAGTCCACATCTAGCTGAGGAACTATGCATTGTTTTGGTTAGAACTCTAGCATACTGGGTGCGGGGAGGGCGTGGGCACACAATACCAGGCATAGAATGTAGGGTTTCCACATTTGAACCATGTGCTGTAGCACTTTCCTGGCCTTAACACCTTTCTGGTATGTAGGCAAACATTCTTTAATTTTTATTTTATTAGACTAGTCATTAGGAAATTAGGAGTGTTTCTTTTGTTTTCCAGAAGATGGCACTGTAGCATTAGTTTTTGTTTGTTTGTTTGTTTCTTTCATTGGACCTAACTCATTAATGCCATGGTTGGGTGATGGAAGAGTGGGTGTGACCAGCGGGCACTTGGGACCACAGTGAGTACCTGGGACCACTGCACATTAGAATAGACCTTGAGTGCAGAGGTCCCAAAGATCTGGAGTTCGTTGGACCTCTTATGGCCCAGGGCAGGTAGCAAGAGTTGTTCTCCCTCAGAGCTCTTTGTTGACCTGATTACTTGTAAATTCAGCCTCTCTGTACCCCACTTGATGCTGGCCTTATCCTCCCTCAGAATCCCTTCTTGTTTCAAGCTCTCAACTCTCTTAGAAGGATTTATTTGTTGAAGAGCTCAATTGGAAAAATTAAGCCTCAAGGGATTTCTGGGGGTAGAGCTCTTTCTTCTCCTTTCATTGACAACTGTTTAGTGGGCACTTTTTAAGTACTGGAAGCAGAATAGAGAAAGGAGATGCTCTAGTGAAAATACTTAAGAAAAATCAAATTGGCTGATTTCTGTTTCATCTGAACTTTTGAGAAGGAAATGGTTTTAAACAGTTGTAAAGTTTCACAATCTTTGAAAATACAGGAATGTGAGAAATAGGGCATTCCGTCCAAGGTCACAGTTGAGAGGCCACATCTCTGGTCATTCATTGTTATGATGTTTAAGGTGACCACTCATGAAAAATACTTGACACAATCAGTAATTATTAACTGTAGTTCACTAATAGAACACTTAAAAGTGAGTCCGGAGTTGAAGCCAGATCAGTCTAATTCCAAAGCTTTCTATCTCTTAATGAAAGTCATTAAAATCAAGCAAACGGAATCAAACGTAGATCATTGAGGGGAGTATTTTCCCGATTTGGAGCTTGGATACTATATTCTCCTTTTTCTAGAGTCTAATGGTTTTATTTCCTCCTCTCTAGTTATCTGAAAATCACCTAATCTCTATCACTTATTCTTCTACCCAATGTTTTAAATTAAACACACATTCAGAAATATAAATTATATACATTATAAAATAAATCATTTGGAAAAGTACATGATTTCAGAGAATAATTATTAAAAAATTGTTCAACAAACACATGCACATTCATAACACAATCCAATATCATTCAAGTCTGTTTTTAAATTTTTTTTTTATCAAACTATCCACCAAAACTTCCTTATTGAAATAAAGGTTCTGATTTCTGTTTTGTTGATCCCAGAGTAAACAGACATCTCTGTGGGGGAAATACTCAAGCCCATGGGGAGAGAAATGGGACACTATCGCATATCATTTCTAGGGGAGAACCTCAAACTTCAGCCCTTTCACTTCATTAGTGTCAGCATCAGACACTGCTGTCATTGTCCTCAGACCAGTTTTCCTTATCTCTGGGCTCCCTGCCTCTCCTTTGCACTGGTTACTTCTCTGAGAGAAACTACTTTTCTGAGTCTGCTTCCTGGAACTACAAAGAAGAAGCAATCCAGACAAACAGTTGAAATTCCAACCAGGGGCTGGAGTGGAGCTCCAGAGGGGTAGAACTCCCTGCTCTCACCTGATTCTGGGAAAGTGGACTCTATATGGTCATCCCTTCCTCAGCCTCTCTGTGCCCCAATCCTGCAAGCATTTCTCCCTAAACATCTAACTACCAGTGCCATGCCTACGGCTGCCACTCTCTCACGACTCCTGGTCTTGGGTAGTTCATTCAGGAAAGGAAAATATGCAGGACAAACAGATTAACATATAAACTGTTGCTTTCTTGTGGCCTTTGCCTGGGTTTAGTCAGTCAGTCATTTTTTTCATGGGTCACTTCAGTAAGTTAGTCATTAAATAGATTTTATGTCTCAGACTGTGGGTTAAGTAGGGCCAAGAACCTGTTGGGGCTGGACCAGGCTGTCAGGATGAACTCATGTAGAATGACCTGCAAACGACCAGGAACAACGGGTCCCATGAAAATGGGTGAGATTACTCGTGTGTTCTGACTGGTTTGGATGAGGCTGAACATCTCTTTCTTTAAGCTGCCTTCAGTAAATAATTTCATAAATTTCAGTATACTGGAAGAGTCAGTCTTTCCTCTTCTCACAGATCCCAGATGCTTACTTAGC